CAAGGAAGAAAGTTACCCAGGTATTGGAAGAAATTCATGGTGGTAAAACTGGAGCCCATCTTGGGGTAAACAAGACCCTGAGCAAGCTGAGAGACCGTTTTTACTGGGTGGATTATTGCGAAGATGTCAAGAAATGGTGTCAACGTTGTAAGATTTGCGCAGCTAGACAAGGACCAAATACTCGATCTGGGGAAGAAAGGGAACAGGATAGCGTTGGACTGTCGTTCGAAAGAATCGCTAGGAAGGAAAGATTATTGGACATTCATAAGGCCGCTAGAAGTAAGATTGCGCTAGCCAGTGACCGGATGAAAGCTCGTTACGACCTCAGAGCTAATTCTACGGGATTTCAACAGCACGATAGGGTATGGTTGTATAACCCACAGCGCAAGAAAGGAAGGTCCCCAAAGTTAACTCCAGCATGGGAAGGTCCTTATACAGTCATCAAGAGGATAAATGATGTTGTGTACCGGATTCAGCGCAGCCCTAGAAGTAAGATGAAAGTAGTTCATCTCGATCGATTGAAGAGATACCAGACAGGAAACCTTGATCGGGACGATCAAATTTGAGAAGGGGGCAATGTTAAGGTCAAGGTGTATTACTGGTTGCATAACCGCAACGTGCCTTGAGGAACCTGGCGCATTCGCCAGAAAGTAAAGAAAATTATAGAATTCTTTAGAAAAATCTAGAAACAACCGCCAGGGGGTATATAAGGCCCGCGCTTTGACAGTTGGACAAGTTTTAAGTTTAAAGTTTGAAGTCTAAAGTCTGAAGATAGTCTGAAGTTTGAAAATACCGCGAAATACCGTTAGAGTAATAGTAGTTGCATAAGTTGTGTTGTAAATAGTATAAGTTGTGTGTACAGAGTGAAACAAATAAATTCGTTAAGTATTTTATCGTGAGTTTAAATAGTGGACCCACGGAATCCGTAACAGTATGCAATCCAGAGTATAGATCGTATTTGTTTGGTTTCTTCTTGGAATGATCACCCTAAGTTTATCCGCCATTTTATATAGCCCCATCTAACTAAATTCTATTTCAATTATTTCCGTTTGTTATTTCGTTTACTTGAGTATTTAATTACTGGTTTGGATCGGCATATGGTTTGAATATATTTATGTAAAGCTGATTTTCAGACCGTAAGTTGTTTTTTTTATTGAGTATCTGTCCTGAGAACTATTTTTTTATTTATAGAGTAACTACCACATGGTACTCAGTAACTACCACATGGTACTCAGTAATTACCACATGACCTTAAGACAGTGTTCCTGACATTACAATCGTTCTTTTGGCTGATATCGAAGACTTCTCCTGCCATAGTCATCTGCATCCACTTCTGTTAGTCTGGAGAATACCTACCTACCTGTTTACATCATAAGAAACTATATACAGATAAGTCTCTTAAGTTTGATACACAAGGTACGCTTTTATTTTATAATTTTTGAGACAACAGATTTAATAACCTGGTAAATTATCACTATTTATCCCACATATTGTAGTCAAAATTATTTTTATTTAACGTTATAAGTTATAATTTGATTCGTACAGTATACTCTTGCTTAGCTATGATATTTTATATGAAAATTATTAACACGTATTCATTTTAAAGGTTTTTGTACACGACATGTTTCGAAACATCATCGTATTGAGACATACATAAATTTCACCTGTTTTTATTAAGTAGCTTACTTAGTTCAAAGAATACAGTTACTAAATTCAAATCTATTTAAAATAACTTGCGGTTTTATTGGGATCACTGTGACGAATTGATGATACTTGTGTTCGTTTTCAATAAATGTTTAATGTAGGATAGTTATTTCTGACTTATATTCCTGATAGACATAATAGACCCTTAATGCTGTTGATTACTTTATTTTAGCTATGTTGTGATATTGTATTTTTCTTTTTGGTTTCTTACTTTACCATTCTCATAAACAAAGTAAGTGGCGCCCTTTTCACTGTCTTTGACCATACCTATTTGAATTCTTAACATCGATATTAAAATCTCTGCAGCCTATATATTATCTTTTTTATTTTAATATTTAACAACATTAGAAAGTCACTGTGAGTCAGAAGCCTTACCTACGAACCCAGCTTTCCTCTAACCCTGAGCAACGGATTCTTTTTTCATTCTATTTGGGTAACGACAGAAAAGTCGTCACAATTGATGTCAAAGTCGATCGTGTCTGCTGTGCTGGGCTCATCAGGGTGGTCTCTCAATACGTCCAACTCTTCATCTTCAGCCGCCAGAGGGATATCTACAGGCAAGTCCAACTCCTCTTCATCGGATTCGTCGAGTGACACTTCAGTGACGTTGTCACAGGATTTCCATTGCAGTATGCACAAATCATTGAACATTTTAATCCTGCTTCTCTGCATCCGCAGGCTTTACCACAGTTGTTGGTTTTGCATTTACAGGATAAAAATCCCACTAGAGATTTTGTAGCTGGATCTTTCAACGTTGTGACTGGAGTAATAACTGTTTTTGTTTTCTTCCACCCCCATTCTTCGGCATCTTTGGTACAACCAGACCAATGCTGAACCTGGTGGTAAGTTCGCAATGAATGCTGTCCAGCACGACAATTAATTATTCATAAATTAATGAGCGAATTAATGATACGCCACTGTTTCATGACAAAATTGAAGAAACTAAACTAAAACTAGTTTTAGTGAACATTAATCGACATTTTATTTCGGAAAATCGACTATACATAATATATCATATTTTACGCAAAATTGTAAAATTTCCAGGGATTTTGTGCCTAAACGGTTGACTTTAGCGAAAATTTTCGTATAACCTTTTTATAGGAAATTTTATTCTCTTTAATTTTGCTCTCTTCAATTTTTTGCGAAAAACGCATAGTTTACGAGTTATTTACAAAATACCGATTTTGGGCGCCATCTTGGCAAGATGGCGGCGCTGGCGCCGGCGGCAAATCTGGAAATGTACATTTTATGGATTTTAGTTAGGAACCCCAAAACCTGCAAAGTTTCAAAACTTCCGGACTTTTTTCCAAGCAGGCTCCTTTTTTGATCCCCAATGACTGAACTAGTTATTCTATCTCAAAAATATTCTTTGTCAAATTTTAAAATTATTCAGTACTAACTGAGGACAAACACAGTAGTACATCCGTACATAATTATTTAGGTCGAAGTAATTAATAATAAATCTTTTTTAATTTCAGTTTTTCTTTTCCGTTGCTTTGGCAATCGCATGTTGTAAAAATGTTTAACGCAATAACACTAAAACTGCCGATTTCACATCATCTCATTTTACAAGGAACATTATGATATTTCTTGTATTATTAATTAATTAGCAAAGTAAACAACAGTACAATGACTTTCTTTTGTAGTAAAATATATTTAACCAATCCTTATTAATTTTTTTTACTATTCAAACCAACAAATAGTTTTTTTTTGGTTAAAATAAATAATCATTAAAGCGTATAATACTCAAGGTAATCATTATCTAATATATTTTTATTGTTTTATCTTATCAAAGTTAAGAACAATCATAATTTTTAAGATTATTTTACTTGTTTTATAGAAAATACACTAATAGTCATCTTAAAAAAAAATCAAAGCATTGTCCAAAATGTTTTGTGTTTTTTCTTTAATCGAGATCCTTCAGGTTTACCACAAAACTGCCGATTTGTCTGTACTGAAAGAAATGATACAGGGTCCGGCAAAAGTGCGTCGGGTATATGTAGTATGTAGCTCCTAGAATAAAAAACATGGGAATTTTGTTTAAGTGCAAACCTAAAGTATGTAGTAGGATGTATTTCAGGAACATATTTTAACTTCTATAGTGTGGCTCAAAAAAGTGTCAGTGGATTAGGATTTTTTTAAATGGAACACCCTGTATATTACTGCATTTTTGGCTTCCTTTCAGATAACTTTACATAATCCTAAGATATGAGTAAATCCATTTCGATAGTTTCAGAGATATAAATAAATAAATAAAAAATATAAATTTTTCAGCCTTTCTTAAGAAAATTATTAAAAATACAAGAACTGTCCTGAAATGAAAAATATATTTGGTATTAACTTTAGATGGTCTGTACTTCCTTTGCTATAAATATAGTAATCTTAAATCATACAGGATGTTCAAAATTCTTCGCCAAACTTTATAAAATATAAAATAATTTATCTTCGTTTTTTTTAAACGGAACACCCTATTTTTTATTAGATGGAGAATTAGAAAACAAACACTTTTTGTATTTAAAGTATTTCAAAATTTTTAACGGTTTCGCAGATATTCGCGGCTTTATATTTCATATGGCATTTTCCACAGTAAAATTTTATCAAAAGCCACCAAATGACTGTACTCGGATATTTTACCATTGAAACAGTCATATGAAATTATAATCGAGTATCTGCGAAACATTTTCACAATTCTCCATCTTAAGTTATATAGAGAAAAAAAAACCGAAGAAAAATTATTTTATATTTTTAAAAGTTTGGCGTAGAATTTTGAATACCCTGTATCATTTAAGACTACGTTATTCACAGCAAATTTAAGTATAGACCATCTGAAGTAAATGCCTAATATAGTTTTGATTTCAGGAGACTTCGTGTACTTATTTGTAATCATTTTTTTAAGCAAGGCTGAAAAACATATAGGTATTTTATTTATGTACTAATATTCCGATATTACCTAAATATATTTACTCATATCTTAGGATTATGAAAGGAAGCCAAAAATGCAATAATATACAGGGTGTTCCATTTAAAAAAATTCATCCCGATCCACACACTTTTTTGAGCAGCCCTGTAGATGTTGAAATATTTCCTTAAATACATCGTAGTACATAATTGAGGTTTCCACTTAAACAAAATTCACAAGTTTTTATTCTTAGCCCGACGCACTTTTGCCGAACCCTGTAGATACATTTACAAATGCATTTATAATTTCACCCTGTATGTAAAAGCTTTTTCAGAACACTAGGCATCCTGTATTATTAGAAAAACGTAAAAATTGTTACCATATCAACTAAATATCGTAAAATGTCAAACATGTCAAAAAGTCATCAGTGAATGTAATCAGGAGAATTGTTAGGGGAAAAACTGGTCAAAATCCGATGAAAAAAACCCGACGAAAGTAACTTACATGGGTAGGGGAAATACGGGGAATTAAACAAGAAAAATTCCAGTACTTACATAGAAAGTGAAACAGGAAAAAAACTCAGAAATCTACACCATGTCCAGACGAAAGCTGAGCTCCACCGGGGAGTTCCAATGGAGTAGACGCAAGTTGAGTTCCACAGGCGAACTGAAATTGGCTACCATCCCGAAAATCGATGTGGCAGGTAGACATCCGAGCACCAGCTCTAGCATATTCAGCACAGAGACACTAGATCCCTCAGAAATCAATTTGGGCGCCCTCAGAGGCGACAGTCTGACTCAGCAAAGGATGAGCTTCTTGCCCTCGAGTTTGAGAATGATGAGCAGGAGCAGTACTGCGGGAACTTTCCGGAACATGGGCATAGACGGTGCAAGCCCGTGGAAAAGCGGGGAGAGAACCGTCGATTACCTTTTCGAGAACTACTGCACCGGAAGCAGCTATTTGGGAGAGTACAACAAGTTGGGCATATGTGGTAAAGGTTAGTAAAGACCCTAATCAACGCCGTAATATTACCATTAGAAAGGGTCACTTATAAAACGTTCAACAGATTTGTTCTTCCTGAGGACCTTACTATTATAGGAAATTGTTGCAAATACGGGTTTCGGCTATTTTTCGACTATATAAGAAAATTTTTATATACTCACATTCTATTGTCCTTAGAGATTGCAAATATGCTGGGGGAGAAGAGAAATTGTATTTCTTTAAGTATTTTTTCAACCAAACAAACTTACGGGACCGGGGAGCGAATAGGGGTGCTGGGCGAGGTAAAAACAATATTCTGATTAAAGATACTCATAACACAACCATTTTAGAATCCTTTAATTAAACTTTTAATGTAAAATTTCTTCAAAAAATCTATGAAGAACTGTTTTATTCAGAAATCATTGGCAGGTTACATTGAAAGATATGCTGACAGTAGCGAAGGTTGAATTTTGACAAACATTGTGAATTGATGTATAGTTGCCAAATCAGCTAGTAAATTGTCCGGAATTTCATGCATCCTTTTTTTCAAAGGGAAAAATGACGTCATAGGTTTTAAAATGTTTTTATTTATTTATTAAATCGCCACCAGCGGTATAGAGAATTGCTTAGTTATAGCTCTAGCAATGAAAACACACTGAGCGGTTTGGTTGGTTTGGTTTAGATTCGGTTGGTCTTGTTTGGTTTGATTTTTTGTTTTTTTTCGTATGTTAGAAAAATTTTTCTCTTATTTTACCAAAATTTATTTAGGATCTTTATTAGGATCGGCAAAAAAAAGTTTTTTTAATTTCACTCAAAATGAGTTACTTGGGTCATAAATGACCTATAAACAAAATATTTTCATGGTGTCTGTGTGTCTGTCCGTATGTAACACGATAACTCAAAAACCGCTGAACCGATTTTAACCAAATTTGGCACAAAAATACTGTGGCACCCGAGAATCTGGCCATTAGTTTTTGGTAGGAGTGGGGGGTTGGTAAGGGGGTTAAAAATTTTAAAAAATCGTAACTCCAAAATTACAGTAGCTAGCGAAACGCGGTTTTCAAATTAAGATTAGGAATAATATTTGCAACATTCCATACATATATAAAAGCTCAAAGGGTTTTTTTGTTACATCCATCCCGCCGAAACTGCTTTACCAATCTTGATGACTCTTTTTTTAAATAAAAGGTATATATGTCCAGATTTGTTATGAAGTATTTTTAAATTGCTGAATGACTATTTCTTTGTGTAAATCGACTAAATATTAAAACATACCTGAAAAACACCTACACACTTTTTTAGTTTGTCAGTTAGATTATATATCAAGTTTTTAGATATTTTAGGGATCAGTTCATACAGCCAGCTTTAGATACATAAATATTAGAACAAAGGTTCGTTTAAACGACATTAGTGAATTAGCTACACAAAGCGATTTTAGGAAATTCATCCTCTTAGAGAGTAAAATTATGTCGGAACAATTTGTTGTATGAAAATTCCTTACTATGTGTTCTAGAAGAATGAAATCCTACAAAAAGAATTAGAAGAGATTTTTGAAATTCATCAACCAAATGGGTAAAGTTAGTAAAAATTTATATAAAACTTGGTGACCTCTGGGTTATACACATAAAAATTGACACAAAGGATCATTTAAAAGACATGAGTTAATTATTTGGATAAAGCAATTTTATGAAATTTATAATTTTAGGGAGTAGAATCAGGGTCTTGTGCAGAACAGGTCCCCACGAAATCGTGGTTTTTTTAATTTTTAATGTGGATCCCATAGTTAATGGAATGGTTTAAAAGAAAAAAATTGTTGGATGAACCACTTTTTCTACGAAAAAAAATAATTGAAAATTCCAAATTTTCACTACATTTCAATGCGAAAACTCCCTATTATAACCTTCATAAAGACAGTAAAATACAAGGTTATGCACAGTGTTGCCATACTCACCCTGTGTAAAATCGACGAAAACGTTCTACTTTATATTCGTTTTTTTTACATTTAGTACGCACTTTAAGAACACGAAAAATTAAAAATATAATAAACGAGGCAAAACAAAAACACTATAAAAATAAATTGACAATAAAATCATTACACAGTATTTAGCACAATTGTTTAAAAATATATTTTTCCCGGATTTGTTCAGTAAGATTCCGAAATGGATGTGATCTGCGTACTTCCAAACACTCCCCACCAACCTAACCTAACCAATGCATTAACACCCCCAAATAACCAGGCTAACCATGCATTAACACCCTCCAAATAACCAGACTAACCAATGCATTACCACCCTCCAAATAACCAGAATATCTAACCTAACCTAACCAATGCATTAACACCCCCAAATAACCAGGCTAACCAATGCATTAACACCCTCCAAATCACCAGGCTAACCAATGCATTAACACCCTCCAAATAATCAGGCTAACCAATGCATTACCACCCTCCAAATAACCAGCCTATCTAACCTAACCTAACCAATGCATTAACACCCCCAAATAACCAGGCTAACCAATGCATTAACACCCTCCAAATAACCATGCTAACCAATGCATTACCACCCTCCAAATAACCAGGCTAACCAATGCATTAACACCCCCAAATAACCAGGCTAACCAATGCATTAACACCCTCCAAATAACCAGGCTAACCAATGCATTACCACCCTCCAAATAACCAGGCTAACCATTGCATTAACACCCTCCAAATAACCAGGCTAACCAATGCATTACCACCTTCCAAATAACCAGGCTAACCTAATTGAGCCTAATGACAAAACTTCATTGATTACGCGTCGAAAAACAGTATATATTAAAAAAACTTATATTTTCGTAGAACCTGAAAAATCCGCAAATTTTATTTCAGAAATTGCTTTAAAATAATCCACACTAACGAATAAGCTACTAGACAGTTCAATTTTTGTTGCACTAAAGTGATAACTTACCGTTTTAAGTCCCTCCACAACAACTTTATTTCAGAAGAAAATCATATAAAGTAATTTTATTGACAACGTCGCAAATTCTATGCGAAGGCCATAGATGACATACCGATGATCGATTAACTGTCAATCGAAAAAGTCATAAAATTGCTAGCTTGAGCTGATGTAAATAAATATATTTTCTTAATTTTTATGCTTACAAAGAAGATTCGTTACATTTTTGTGCTTAAATTAGATCATTCCACGTCTATATAAGGTAATAAAGTACTAATATGTGATGTTTTTACTGAATCCGTGTAGAAAATTTAACATATTTACTGTCCGTCGCCTGTACCTAAAATACGTTTTTTTGCCGCTTTTTAAAGATAAAACACATTCATCCAACAATTTTTATGCTTAAAAATATTCAGTTTAAGATAATCTTGCAAAAAAATCCCAAAAAAGTGTTAAATGCGTGGGGACCTATTGTGCACCAGAGCCGTAGAATCAATTCTTAAATAAGTGCAATTATTCTTAGCGATAGTAGGTATATTTGACCCCAGAAACACGATTATGAGTTTTTTCGCGAATTTTTTTTTGAAAAACCTTTTGGATTTTTTTTTAGTTTTTAGTTAAAAACCATAATTTCTTGATAATATGGCAACATAGATAGGTAGTAGATTAAATTTACAAGACAGAAAAACCCGAAAAGCTGCAGTGGTTCTCAAAATTTAAGCAAAAAATATTTTTTTTTTGGAAATTATTAAAGTAAAATAACTCAGCTTTTTGGAGTTATTTGAAAAACGGTAAAGAGAAAATATTGTTTTTATCGAGATCTACTAGCCCTGAAAATATTTGCACTTATTCAAGACTTGCCCTGTATAATACCCAGAAAATCGACAATTGATAATTTTCATATGAAATACGAGTAGCTCTAAAACTCTTAAAAACATAGTTTAAATAGGGCATTTGTAAGGGTAACTAGCTATATATACAAAGTAAATCATTTAAATCAATGCATGAACTATTCGAGGTGTAACGTGAACGTAGTCGCCGGAATAACCTAGTTTGTAATAACATCAAAATCAGTTAAAGTCGCAGTTTTCGAGATATTAACATATTTTAGTATGGGCGGCTGTACGTGCCTCCCGGCGCCAATTTTATTTTTTATGCATTTCAGTACCTAATTGTTACCTAAATTGTTAACTAGTGAACAATAATAAGGTAATCGCAAAACAGTTTTCAATGCACGTAATCAATCATATCGAAATTACAGTAAAACCTATAAACCTGTCTAAGGAAATTTTGGCAAAAATGTTTAAATCTATTGTATAATTTACGATACGGAGCAGCTCTTCATTTTACCAAAGATTTTACTTTATAGAGCAAATGATTATAACAGATATTTTATTTAGATTAAAGCTGCAAAAATTAGTTTAAAGCGATTTTTATTATCGGCATGTTGGTCACATTGCGCCGCGAAACGTTGTCGTTTGTTATTTGACAATTATCATAATATTAGTCATTGTTTTGTATAATATCGTGTTGTCATTGAATCTTCGGGAGTAATTTTTTTATTTCATTGTTTTTTTAATTGTACTCTTAGGTACAAACAGTTTTTTTAAGAACTAAATTTTCGAGTTTATGTATTGCATTTTTTAAAATTGCGTGTTGAAAATATGCTGAAGCATTTAAACGGTCGAAGCAAAGAGCTTGTACAGCTGGTTCCAAAAAAAAATGAATACGACTCTTTACACATTTTTTTAGAATATTTGGGCAGTGTATATTTATGTGTCAAGTATTTTGACATGTTATTGCGACATTGTATAAAACAACTTTGCTTTTGACCAAGTCGCAAATAATTTTTTCAGAACGTCAGTATGACATGAGTAGAGAAATGGGGGACTGGTATCATAGAATATACTGCCCGAAATAATAAAAATATGTTTTAAATCGTATTCAATTTTATTGGAACCAGCTGTACCTTTCCCGATAAACTATTTTGAACGAGGACGTGACAATAGAGGTCCTTTATTACCCTTGACTGAAGTCAGAGCAGTAAGATAAGTTGAAAATTATTGCCACTTATTTCGATTTGTAGCGAGTAGCTGCTGCCTTCAATTTAAATATATTTCTACTGTGAGTGTTAGTGACTACTGTTAATAAATAAATTAGTTACTAAAATATTAATTATTAAATTAAAAATAACACGTAAAAATCTCTAAGAAATAAGATAAAAATTGTTTCCCAATTTTACATAAAAATTCATCTCATAAATCCATCACAATCTGGCAGCCCTGTCGCCATCGCTTGTCACTCGAAGCTGATCACGTGCATCGTAAATTGTTTTGCGATTACCATATGTTGTTTTATTAGGAGTAGAAAGTAAAAATAACATTTTTTGCGACGAGGCTGTACAGGGTGGGTCAAATTCGACGCTTTTAAATGGAAACACCCTTTTCTACAGGAGATAGACAAAAACTAATATCGGTGTCTGGAGCTCAATTTTTGTCAAAACCATGATGGTGAAAACCGCATATCGATATCTGTTACCGTTTCGGAGTTACGGGGTGTTTTTCAAAAATGTTCATTTTTAAAAAATCGCTGTAACTTTTTTGCTATGGAAAATTTGGTATTTTTATGAAAAGATTTCCAAACCACCTTTTTACGTAGAATTTAATGGTTTAAGTATATTTTTTTTCAAATTAATAATTTAAGAATTATCAACAGAAAATTTGATTATTTATATTGGACACCCTGTATATTTTTAATTTATTAAAAAGAATTTAAAATTACCTTTCCAAAAATATAACACACTTGATATTTTGCTCGATTCCTCTTCGAGATATAGAGTATCTAAAAATTCGCCCGCTTTAAATAAGTAGGCTTTGAGCGGCACCGGCTGTAATGCAAAAAAATTCTAGCTGTGAACATCAATTAAAACGAAAATAATATTTGCTATGAGAGATGCAGAATTTTATAACAATTTAAAATATATTTAACCAACATCAACACATTTAAACTATATCATAAACAATAAAAATAAATAGCAAACCAAGACATAAGATTTTGCTACAGGTGTTCGACATACCGATCGTCTTCTGTTATGGACACGGGGTAGTTTTTGAACATTTCTGGCGGAATTCATTAACTCAGTGGGGGTGAAAGATACCCTCCCATAACTGCTAAGTATTTCTAATTCTTGTCTAGATTATACGGAAGAATAAGGAACCTTTATTCTTCCGCGAATATATCCATAGGATTAGATCCATGGGCACTAAGTCAGGTGGCCTCGACGGCCAACGGCTGGGATCTTGGTTAGCTATTCAATTTTTCTTGAAATTGACTGCAAAAATTTGCTGATAACTTCAGCGTTCGGAGGCGGTGCGTCGTCTTGCTGGAAAAATATGTTTTCGAGTTCCATTAAGGGCATATCATTAATAAGGGGTCCAAAGCCGACTAGTTAAAAGTGGCGAACTTTAAAAAATTCTGTATTTCGAAGGAGATTATAACAAAATATCAAGTGTGCTATATTTTTGGAAAGGTAATTTTAAATTCTTTTGAGTTAATTAAAAATATAGGAGGGTGTCCCAAAAAAAAATCAATTTTTCTGTTGATAACTCTTAAATTATTAATTTTAAAAAAATTATACTTAAATCATTAAATTCTACGTAAAAAGGTGCTTTGGAAATGTTTTCATAGAAATACAAAATTTTCCATAGCAACAAAGTTACAGCGATTTGTTAAAAATGCACATTTTTGAAAAACACCCTGTAACTCCGAAACGATAATTATTATTGATGTGCGGTTTTCACCATCATGTTTTTGATGAAAATTGAGCTCCAGATATCGATATTAGTTTTCGTCTATCTCCTATAGAAAAGGGTGTTTCCATTTAAAAGCGTCGAATTTGACCTACCCTGTATAGGGTGTCCCATTTTGGTTGAAATCATATGGTATCTCCGTTATTCGTTAAGATAGAAGGGCGCGGTTTACACAAACCTGTGCCAATTTTTAGTCAAACGGACGATGCTGTCAACAAACTTTTTATAGCCCTCTTCGTTTCTGAGCTACAGGCTTTTTCGAAAATTTTGCAATTTGGGACATCACCCGGATCTCCGTTATTATGGATGGTATCGAGAAGGTGAAAACTGACTCTTGTAGAACTTTTTACGTAGAATACAGTGGCGTAGTCTGTTTTTCTAAGAAAACAATATTTTTGAAAATATGAACTAAAGTTATATTTTTGAAAATATGAACTAAAGTTATATTTTTTCAAATGGAACACTCTGTATATTAATAAATCATATGATCCGCTTTGCTATGAGCTTCTCAAAAATATATACCACTCTATATTTATTTTCACTATTTACTGCAATATTTAAAATATATAATTCTCTTATTAGTAGGCCGTGATAAATAACAAAAAAATCAGAATGGTATTTACTAAAATAGTCATACACATATTAAAATTGATATATTTTACTTTTGAACTGTTACCACTGAATCTCTGAATATATTTTTCTTTTTTTTATAACGGGATAGGTTTGCAAATATCTAAAAGTTTGCATTATTAAAGCATTTTCCAGATGTTCTACAGTTGCCACGATATATTTCATATTTCAGAAATCCCCAAAATCAGAAATCGAGAACGGATAAATCCGGGAAACAGGGAGGCCATCATCTGGGTCCGTTGGTTCCAGTTCATTGATTTGAGAAATAATTTAACAAAATTCTAATATTTTCGTTGTAAGTTAAGTTGTGAGAGGGAACTCCATCCTGCTGAAAGTATATTTTACGTAAATTAGCTAAAATAATATTTAAAAATTCCGATACGATAGTTTCCAAGATTTACAAATAGCGGTAGAGTTAAGTTTTCCTAATATATAAAAAAATTATTAGTGGCTCTCAAAATAAAAGAAGAGACATATAAGCATAGTAGTATACTTTTAAAGATCGCGCACACTATACCTACACGGACCGGCACGGACCAGACCAGTAAAATCTACCGGTGAAGGTGACCGTGGTATTTAATAGAGTAGAGCACACTAGACCAGTACCAGCACGTACCGCCACAAGCCACGACCGTCAAAACAGGTCGTGTCGGTCAGGGACAAATATGACCGGCAATATTTATGCCTGGTCGTGCTAGTCCGACCTAATGTCCGCACCGGCGAACCAGCACACCTCCACAAACATGCAAATATTGAAGGGTTCGTCAGTATTTCGAGTACGCTAGCTGGCTCAAGTCGCATGATGTAGGTTAGATTTCGTTTATTTTTGTTCGAACCTTTAAATCGTTATAAATATGAATGAAGAAAAGCTTATTTTACTGGTACAAAAGTATCTAGAGCTGTGCGATACGAGCCAAGCATTTTATATATAGAGACCAAGAAAGAAATGATGCAATACGGGAGTCGATAGCAAAAAAAAATAATCAAATTTGATTTGTGACATTCGAAAATATTGGAAAAACTTTTCTTCGAATCTTTTTAATTCAGGAAACAAATGATGAAATTCGCCATATTACTTTCTCTTTTGATTTATAGGGTGAACCCAAAATCTTCTTTTTTTCTTAGCTTCCTTCTCTTCCTCCTCTTCTTCTAAGTTTGAAGCACAAAAAGTCATTTTTACTCCGAATAGAACATGTTATTAATTTTCAAACGACACAAATACTTTTTTAAACAATTTCAAACGTTCCAAATAATATAAAATATTTAAAAGTCATAACTTGTATGTAATTATATATCGATAAACTATGGTTACCGCTCGTTGAATTTGACACTTTATATCAGTTTAATAATATATTTTCGTACTTTTATGCTTAGGCGTAAAAGTTCTTTACATTTATGCCTAGGCGTTAAAATGACTTTTTTATATTGTCAATCAAGTCGCAAAAATTAATACTTTTGTGACTTTGAAAAAAAAATTATACTAGTCTTAGTCCATAACTAAAGAATAATTATCATCGTTTTTTAATATCTTATACAAGAAAAACAATTTCATATGATTAATATGGTAAGAAAAATATTATAGCTTCTGTGATAACTGTTTAGTGTTTTAATTTTATGTTAATTATTATTCATGAAAAATAATATACAAATTATAGCAAAGCACATGTGATACAAATAGATAATCTTCTATTTGGAAAACCCGAAGATTAATATATTATTAAATATTGATTATATAGATCACAATACTTCAAAGCTATAAAGAAATATTTATTCAGAGAAATAATTTAAAATCTCATAATTATATACAGGGTTCGGCAATAGTGCGTAGGGTATCTGTGGCTCCTAGAATAAATAACTTAGAAATGTTGTTTAAGCAGGGGTTGAGCTCAGGGGGGCCTAGGGCTTTTTTTTTAAAAATTAAGAATAATTTTAAAATACACATTTTTCGAATAATACGTTTACATGAATTTCTCTATCAATAAATTTCATAGACTTGGTTATCAGGTTATCAAACCGTGTTCACGTAGATTACTGAAATACCTACAATTTTTTTAAAAAAATAAAAATTAACACATTTTTTGAACACAACAAATTAATATTAACTAAACAAAACTAGAAAGCGTAATTTTTACTACATCACAAGCAAATAAAAATTAATACGTAGCCAAGAGTCAAAACTCAAAGATTTCTCTTTTTTAAAAAAGGCTGAAGAAATAATGAATACTTTATATATATTTATTTATTATTAATATCTCTGAAACTATCGAAATATATTTACTCATATCTCAGGGTTATGTAAAGTGATCTGAAAGGAAGCCAAAAATGCAATAATATATAGGTATAAAAAAAATCACCCCGATCCACTCACACTTTTTTGAGCCACCCTGTTGAAGTTTAACTATTTTTCTGCAATACATCCTAGTACATACTTTAGGTTTGCACTTAAACAAAATTCCCAAGTTTTTTATTCTACAGAGAGCTACAGATGCACGACACACACACTATTGCCGAAACTTGTTTATACGTTTTCTTTTACGTTTTACAGGCATGTACAAGTTTCCCCATGGAGTGATCTACGATGGCCGTTTTAATAAGAAGGGTGAATTTCACGGTAGCGGGACATTGACTTATCCCAGTGGACAGAAAGTGGAAGGATTCTGGCGCAATGGAAAACTCCAGAAGAATCCTACCAATGTGTCCGCAGGTTAGTCAAACTTATACAAATCCAATCCAATTCCAATCTACCGGGTGGAATATCGTCGTTATTATATTCGCTCCCCTATTGATTTTACAGCAATGATTGCATCTACTAAGCAGGGATCATCCTCCACAAGTGGCACACAAGCTACCACCTTCTCCAGCAAGGATCGGAATCTTACCTCTAGACCCAATAAAGCGACACAAGCTACCGTTTCGTCTACCCGGCCTGGGTCAACCAGGCGGGCTAGACGATCCTCTGAGAGTAGGTCTTAGCGGAGCAGAAGCACGGAGATACCTCCGACTGCTCCACGAAGAACTTGCTCCAGAGGAAGCAAAAGCGAAAACACTCCTCCGAAAAGGAGAGAGTAAAGAAACCAAGAAACAACCTGACTCATTTCCATCAAAGGGCAAGAGAGGGAGCGAAAACCTCTCACCTCTTCTCCGGCAGGGAGAGAAAAAAAACAGGATGGAAAGCCGTCCAACACCGGGAGGCAAGCAGGGACGTATCACCAGCTTTGCCGCTATTGCCGGATAAGTGAAAATGGCGGTGCTGCCAAAGCATTTCCCAGAGGTTGCTCTGACCACCGACCAGCAAACGTCTCTAGAAGAGGCTATACTGGACGAAGTAGTGGCGATCGGATCGCAACACAACGATCTACAAAATGTGGGTCGGCTGCGTTTTGCGGGGATACACTTTCGGCTGGGCATGATCCTCATAGATTGTGTATTTCAAGAATCGGCGAATTGGTTGGTGGAAATCGCACCTAAGCTTAAAAATTGGCAAGGGTCGGAACTGGTTGCAGTGAAGGGATAAAACATCTCTATAGGGGCGGCCATTACGGTCTTTCTGCCGAGGGGCAAGGGGAAAGACACCACCTACCACCTACCTGCTGAGCCTTATCCAGGGTCAGAACTTCAATGTAAGGACATCGAGTTGGCAGGTCATCAACTCGAGGGAGGAGGGTCATGGTCAGGTCCTCACAATAGGAATTTACCTCAAATCCAAGGAGGCAATAGAGAAGGAGGGACATATCCTCTATTATAGATACGGGACAACACCGGTATCAGGTCTAAGGAGAGACCAAGTTAAAGAGGTGTAGAAAATGGAGATAGATCCTCCAGTCTCCGCCTCACGGGTTCCTCAGCCGGAGGCAAGCTCCTCGACTGTGAAGGGCGGCACGGAGGGCCAAACTCCAACCGTGGAAGGGTGTGTACCCTCAGAGGAAAAACTGTTGTCAGAGGAGAATGAGAAATACCCTGTCCCCTCTACAACAGAGGTATGATGGGTTGTAGACTGTGTGATGACTCAAGGAAGGGGGCACACACAATAGATCTTTAAGGTAGCAGTGATTAACCCCCCTCTTACTGATTCTACATTCTACATCTCCTAAGCATGTATTAAAGCCACGCACTATCGAAACGAGGAATACTTACGAGAAGTGAACAATACTTAGAGGCCAATACACGGGTTTAAATAGCGAGTATACGAAAAATTTATTATTTAATTATTCTAAAAGTGTTAGGAAGTATAATTAGTGAAAATTCTAAAAATGAAAATAAAAAAAATAATATTTTGATATCTTCAGAAGGTCTAACTTGTATTGTAATTTATTATTCCAGTTAAAAAAAACTTCTTAGATGATTTCATCTACGGTAGCGAGCATAGTTTTAATCACCGGTTTTCCTAGTGGGGCACAATTGGGTCTATTTCGGCTATAACGATTTTTTTAAAGGTACATCATTATAATTTTAGAAGATGTTCATAAAACATTTAATCAATAGTTGATTAAAATAAGTATACCATTAATATTATAAATTATATTTTGTCCTTTCATAGTATATGTATATGTCTATTCAATTTTTTGATTGTGTAACGAGGCACTTTGTTTACTCACTTGTTTCGTCGAACTGCTTGAATCCATGTTTGCTATTAATCAAATTGGTGTGAGAAACTATGAAGCTATAAAATTTTGTTTTGGGGAGAGTTGAATAACCGGGAAGGGTTGAGTTATTGAATGTTATTGCGCCTAACAACTCCTTAATTACGCTCTCCTTTACGCGTTATCATTTTTTTCGGCAATTATATCAACATTTGAAATTATCACAACACAACACGACGCCTAGTTCGAATTCTTTTTCACTTATTTTTTACTACGTGAAACAGCGTTACATCGCACAAACCTCGTACCTGAGTGTTATAGTCTCAATAACTACACTAGCAAAAAACTGAAATACTTAAATATTATGACAAAACCACGATTTCAATATTATTTTAATGTGATCAACATGACGGCGCGGCGGCGTGAACTATATACTAATAATTTCTCATCTTTGGCTTTGGAGCGCTGCGGACGGAATTTGTTGAAATCAACTGAAATGCACCAAGCCTATACCTATTTCCATTGCAGATAACACGCCATACAGAAGCCAATACTGCAGGATGCCGGATCGCAGGTTCCAGATCGAAGTGACGCACGACTTGGCGCCTGCGCCTAAAGAGTTTCTCACGAACGCACCCAACCCGCCACGAAAGATACCCCCCGGATCCTACGACACCGGAGAAGGTTTCTACGATCCCGTCAAGAAGGTGATGTTGGACTACGACGACCTCAAAGTCAGCGTGCCGATGTACGAGAGTGAGAGCGTCTACGAGGGCCGGGAATCTATGGTCGGTGACACCGAAGATTTGTTTAGGGTAAAATCATATACATATAACTAAATATATATATATATATATATATATATATATATATATATATATATATATATATATATATATATATATATATATATATATATATATATATATATATATATATATATACTTATATATCTAACCACGTCGTGTAGGTCTTCCTCTTTTCCTTCTGCTTTGGGGACGATACTCCATTGCCCTTTTTGGTCATCTTTCCTCTCCCATTCTTTTTACGTGCCCATACCATAGTAGCTGTCTCGATTCGATGTTGTCGGTGCTGGTATATATTCGCCTTGTTCTTTGCCTGATCTCCTCATTTCTAATGTGTGCCATCCTTGATATGCGACATACTCTTCTGAGAAAGTCCATCTCCACTGACTCGACCATCCTTCTTTCTTTTGCTGTAAATTGACAGCATTCGGCACCGTATGTTAAAATTGGATCTACGATTGCTTTGTAAATCCTTATCTTTGTTTGGATGGATGTTTTATTTGACCACAGGAGAGGGTTTAAAAGACCGATTACTTTCTTACCTTGTTGAACTCTACTATGTATATCTTTCTTGGAGTTCTCTTCTTCAGATATAATACTTCCTAAATATTTATATTCGCTACATCTTTTAATTTCATGTATGTGTAGTTTAGGATCTTCAGTTTGTTCTTCTCCTACTTTCAGGTATTCGGTTTTTGTGAGGTTGATATTGAGTCCCCATCTGTCGTATTCTTCATCAAGTTTCCTCAACATATAGTCGGCATCCTCCTCACAACCTGCAACAATAACTTGGTCGTCTGCAAAGAACAAGGTCGATAGACAGTTATTGTCAATCTCTATTCCCATAGCTCTACTCTTCCTTCTCCAGTTTTTCAATGCCTCCTGGATATATATTTTAAATAAGGTAGGTGATAAACTGCACCCCTGTCTAAGTCCTTTAGATGTCAGGAAGGATTCCGATAGGAACTTGTCTGATCATACTTTTTGGATTTTTGTACATATTCCAGATTGCATTGATATATGTTTTACTAACATTTGCCTCAACCAAGATTTCAAATAATTTCTTCAAAGGCACCGTGTCATAGGCTTTCTCTAAATCTATAAACACCAGATGCGTGTCCAAATTTCGAGCTCTCCTTTTTTCAATTATTTGTTGTAACACAAATATGTTGTCTATACAAGAACGCCCAGCGCGGAAACCACCTTGTTCTTCTATTTCTTCAAAGCTCTCTTCTACTCTCTCTTTTAATATCCTGCCTTACAACCTTCCCATTGAGCTTGTCAAATTAATGCCTCTGTAGTTGCTACATCTTTTTTTGTCTCCTTTCTTAAAGATAGAGCTGATGTACGCCAGGTTCCAGTCTTCAGGAATGTTTTCGTTTTTTATCAGGCATCTTTTGAAGATATCAGCTAGTATTTCCAATAATATATCGGGTCCCTGCTTTTTTAGCTCAATGAAAATGATTCACGGCCCCGCAGCTTTTCCATTTTTTGAGTTCTTCAATGCTTTCTTTATCTCGTTTACACTTATTTCATTTACATCTATATCTTTTGCGATTTTCAAATCTGGCACTTCTAGTTTGAATTCTGTCCTGTTTTCTGTGAGGAACTGTTTGTAATGGTCTTCCCACTTTTCCATGCTTATAAGTTCTAGTTTACTGTTTTGCTTTTCGTCTCTTCTAAGGTTCCTTATTGTCTTCCACGCTTCTGACACTCTTGTACCTCCCAAATATCTTTCCACTCTCTCACATTTGGTTTCCCACATTTTGTTTTTGCCTTTAGATACTTCGCGTTTAACCATTCTATTTAATCTTGCATATTCTTCTCTGTCGTGGTCGCTGTTTTTCTTCTATAAGTTTTTTAAGTTTTCAGACCACCATTCTGGTTTTTCCGTCGTTTGCTTATCTTGTTGCCCTAACGCTTCTTCAGCTGCTTCGTGAATGCATTGTTTTGTTTGTTCATACAACGTTTCAGCGCTTACGTTGTCCCTTCTTATATATGCTAGTTTATTGGCTAGTCTTAGTTTGTACAGAAATCGTGTCGACTCTTGCATAAAACTTTTTAAATTGTATTTTTTTTGTTTCTACTTGTACGTATCTGTCGTGTATAGTTCTATCTACTACAGTGTACATCTTTCTGTACTCTACTACTGTTTTTGATACCACCAAATGATGGTCCGATCCACATTCTGCTCCACGGTAAGCCCTTACGTCAATGGTTTTTAGTTTTGAGTTTTGTCGCTGTATCAGATAGTCAATTATGGAGCTGGCGAGTTGGTTGAGTCCACGTAAACTTATGAATGTCTCTATGAGGGAAGAAGCCGTTCATCATTTTTAAATTTAGGGTTTCGCACATGCCACTTAGCCTGAGACCATTGTCGTTGGTTGACCTCTCTCCGTACTGCCCCACCACTGGGCTATTGGTTTCTGTTCCCGTTCTTCAGTTGAAGTCTCCCAGTAAGAATAGTTCTTTATCGTGTTTAATGTCGGATATTATGTGCGTTAGTTTATTGAAAAACATATCTTTTGTTAAAGGATCCGCAACGTCGCTAGGGGCATATACTCCTATTATTATCATTTGTCGGTGGTTTTTGTGTATTTCGACTTTTATAATTTGTTCGTCTATTTCGTCCCAGCTTTTTATGTCGTTTCTTGTGTATAGCTACCGAAACCTACCTTTTGTGTATAGCTACCGAAACGCCTCTTTTTGCTCTAGTTTTCTTGCTTACACCACTAAATATGTGGATGTACTCTTCCACGGTCTCCGTTCCTTTGCCTTTCTTTTTGGTCTCCGTTAGCACACAAATGTCGATCTTCATTTTATTTATTTCACTAAACACTTCTTGTTGTTTGGTCCTTATACCTTGCACATTCCACGTGGCTAGTTTCAAAGTCCTTTTCCGTAGCGTTTGTCGTCTTCGATTTGATCCGTCCTGGTTCCGAGGCTTTTGGCCGAAATTTTTTAGCAAGGTAATTATTTTCCGGATGACAGGGTGCTAGCCCGTCGCTCCAACCCCCGTCGCTCCAACCCATAACTAAATATACTCAGCCTAATCTCTAAAAAATGAAGCCCAAACAGCGAAAGAGAAATATGGATTCTGCATAAGTCTATTTCAACCGGATATTCATTTAAATACGCATGCCTTACCTGAAGAAGTTTTTATTGGTCGGTGTTTTTAAAGGGAAGTGGTTGATTGACATTTCACCTAACCTTCAATTTTATTTATATTTTTATTATTTATAACACATTATCATGGAGTTGGAAAAATATCAAAAAATAGTTGGAAACAATAAACTAAACAAAATCACTCTTTTACGCGCACAAATAAAAAGTAATCCAAATAGAACTAAAACAACAATCAATCGGAGTTTGGCGCAATCGCAGTTCAATCGATATCAGGGTGAAATAGACTTATGCAGCATTAATATGAAGCTGAGTTATGTTGTCTTTTTCTTACGGCACGAAAACAACACACGGGGTTAAATAGGGAACACTGAGTATATTTAGTTATATGCATATGGATAAAACAGCCGCCACACTATCCTCGAAATGTTTTACGAAATATTTCTGGAAATATTTCGTGAAACATTTCGCAAAACATTTCTGGAAATAGTACGATAAATATAAGCCCGTGTTATAAAAATTAGTTCTCACGTTTCCTGAAACTGATCGAGACGCGCCGTCATTGTTTGTTTGTTTTTTATTGTTAATCTGGGCTAACAATAAAAAATTTATCGTGCTATTTTGTGAAATAGCACGAGGCAATCAAGGTCAAACGTTGTTTTGGCTTCAGAAAAATAAGTAAAACATGGAAAAACTGATTCCTCGAAGGTTACACAAGAATATTTAGTTTTAGTCATTGTCTAATATTATTAATTACAATATAAAACAGCGACTAACTAGCGGTCTACCATTTATCGGCTTATAATTCACGGTATTGCGCCTCATGAACAAAATATACACAAAATTATTTAAAAAATCGTCTAATGATTTATCATTTCCGGTTATGGTAAAGTAACATTTATACTGTAGTCCGTAGCAAAGTTTAGTTTACTAATTTGGTTTTGTTTTTCTAGTTTTAATTGTCTAATTCCCTGCATAATAAATACTAGTTGAATGAATTTATATCAAACCATCCTGGGTGCTAATAAAAGTATCGTTTACCGATTTGTCTTAAGAACAATAAAAGAGCATTGCTTTTTAATAATGTCCGTGGACCATACTTTTGTTGACATCGGGTCAATTAATAATTTTCCCAAGCGGATATATTGAAAATGTTACCAGTGTTACTTATCAAGCAATACTACTCTTATATTAATCAATGAAGGCCGTAAACAAACATATCATATAAAATTTTATATACTAATTCATTATAATAAAATTAAATCATAAAAATATTGTAATTATATTTCTCCAGTTTAAGTGAAAAGTTTTGTTCCTAAATATCTACTATACATATAATAACGCGTGTTCAAATATTAATTCTGTGGAAAATATATCAATATAACATAAAACGAGATGTTATTAACGAAATATCATCGTACCAACAGCTATTTTAGAAACGTCTACGTTTACTTATTTCATTGAGATTTATGAAAAAAAAATCTTTGCCTCGGATACAGATACCGCCACGTTTTGGAAATGGCTCAAAACAAAACAAAATTGAACGAGGCAACAAAAAACGCCAAAAAAATCCCCCCTCGCCCTCCTCACGAGTAGTTTTCAGGCGCTTTTAAGAATCGAAAGTAGGTTGAGGCAAACCGAAGTGGGTTAAGACAACTGGAAATAAATCGAAATGCGTTAAAAGTTGGGCGACGAAATGCGACCTTGCTTCGAATTGTTTCTCGCATACTGAAGGCGCTGTTTAAGATTTTTAATCCATATCCATATACAGGTTGTTAATTTGTTTATTACTCGCGGCAAGAGCTTTATGGTTAAAATATGGCAATCTCGGCCCGCTCGTCGATAGACGACGCGACGACGGGACGAGTCGGCAGAAAACCCTATAAGTGCATGCGTTCTCAATAGGCAGTGTTGCCATTCTGTTCCCCTATAAGTAACTGTCGAATTAACAACCTGTATAAAAGGTCAAAGGTTTTTTTGTCCCATCCATCCCGCGGCTACCGCTTCACAAATTTCAATTATCCTTTGTTTAAACGCTAGGTATATATATTTGCAGATTGTTTATGAAGTGTTTTTATATTGTTTAATCGCTATTTCTTTCTGTAAAACACATAAATATTAAAACATACCTGAGAAAAACACCTAACACAAAATACCTTTAGAAATAAATTATTTCTCATTGTCAGTGGTGTGTCAGTTAGATTATATAGGGTGAGTCTTAAATAAGTGCAAACATTTTCAGGGGTGGTATATATTTCGACCCCAGGAACACGTCTATGAGGTTTTTTTCGCAAAAAAATGTTGAAAATCGTGCATTTTCTTTTAAATTTCCCTGTATATTTTTCGAAAACTTTTTAGAACTGCCTGTTCACCGCAAATTTTTCCACGGTATAATTTCTTAATCTCTGATATTACCAAAGATATTTAAACTCGGGAGATAGAATGATCCATTCATAAAACGCTCTAAAGCTTCATCACACATTGGTTTGGTTTGGTTTGGGGTATCTGCTCGATGGCAACAATGTAGTTGTGTACAAAGATTAGACGTTTGAGGTCAATTTCCAGTGGCGTGCCGATCGACCGACAGTATTTTAAGGAAATTAAAATAATTGTTTAATAAATTAAAATAAAATAATAATAAAACTTACATCTTACATATTTGTCGCATTGTAAAAAAAATAAGTTGAGGGAGGATAGCGAAATAAAATAAAAACCGGCATAATTTTTTATTATAAGATGGCTTTTCACATAAGAATAACGATTAAAAAATTAATAAGCGTTTTTTAATTTATTTTATTAAATAAAATATCAAATTTTAGGTGTATTAGTAAATGCAGTTTCAATATCTTGTTCCAAACCTTGTTCGTCTCCGGCGAATGAGATTCCCTCTATTAGGAATAACAAAATAAAATAGTTATTTTAACCTAATAACACAATATTTTACCAAAAACCAATATTTGTAGACTTCACATATTTTTGATAAAAACTTTATTATTATATATATGAATAAAATTTAAAATGTGCCTTATAATTTTTATTAGTTCACAATTGTTCATTAATGAGGGAATAAGAAGTAAGAAAATTTAATATTTATTTACCTTAACTTTCATTTTAGGGATGTTTCAAACACAGTAAATCAGAACTGAAAATATAAGATGTATATTATACCGTATGATCGAATAAAAACGGCGTCAGCGAGGGCTATGAAATGAAGATCGCTGTCATTTTATGTGTAAATTTAAATTTATATAGGAAATGCCATCGATCGTCATTTCCAAGCCAACTGGACGCCGTTTTTATTCGATCATACGGTATGTGTATATCTAAACAAAATTATTTGATATTATAATACACAGTCATCAGAAAAGTCTATCGATAATTTTAAAAAATCATAAATAAAATAAAATGGTGATTGTTTAGTAAACGGTTCTTAGTTTAAAAAAATATTTAGCTTTGTTTCTCTTGTTTGCAAAGGAAAATTCATATTGTTTATAAATAATAAAAAGTGCATGTGCAAAGAATTTCAATACAATAAAATGTAAGAAAGTCATAAAATTCATGTAATAAGAATATTAATTATATGTATGTCAAAAGATGTCCATTTACATTATAGCAGCCAAAATTTAAAACAAAAGCCGTATAAAATTGTAACGGCAACAAAAAAAAGTAAGGCCGCAAAATTCCATCTTTGGTACACCCCAATAACATTTTCACAAAAGGTAGGTAATGGTTTGTCAAACCCAAGTAGGTACCTAGATTAGATTTATTCTTATAAGAAAGTACGCCCAAGTAGCATTTGGACGTTATCTAACGTCGGGTATGCGTCGCGTTCAATAAACCCGACATCGGGTACCAACGTCGGTTCGACCGCCTGACGACCCTTATTTGCACCTAAATGGGGAATACAGATTCGGGTCGCCTCGACGTTGGTATCTGACCTAATAGGGAATGTAATCCTACCAATTACCAACGTCATATTACGTTATCTTTTAGTTACTTAAAATTCGTCGCTAAGCACTTACGTTACGTTTGGTTTCATATTCGCTACCAAGAATACATAAAAACCTAACCAAACTACCTAATTACAAATGGATTCATAATCACTCCTCGAATATATATAACTAACTATAAGTGCCTATCTAATTTTATATTATAATAATTCTGAACCATTAATCCAGACATCAGTTTTGTCAACGGAAGTCACTTTTTTGATATATCTGATTAAAATACTCCGGAAAACAACGAGCGCCTTCAAAATTAGGTAGATTTATGAAATAAAAATATCTATAAAAAAGTAACTCGCAAAATATTTTTTTAATTTTCTAGCTGGTTTAATCATAAAACTGTACTGTGGTTCTCCCCAAACTCAACATTATCAATATTATTCTACTAGAAATCGAAATGTAAATATAAATTTTAAAAACAAAAAACGATTTTAAAATGGCTGACTATCTGACACTTGTTAAGAATGGCGGATTTCTGTGTCCGACTTAATATGAACTACCAATATACCAATTCCAACCGGGTCTCCAACATTAGTCGTCTCACACGACTGAAGTCATCAAACCGGACGACCGGCAATCGTATTATGACGTATATAATTCCAACGTACGCCACGTAACCTCACTTTGCGAATCAGTGATTTGCGGATTTGTGCAACTATTTTAATGTTTTTGTTTTCTCCTTAAAAAAAATAGGCAGCCACTTTTTTAAGCTTAACCTCACATGTGGGAGGAGGATGGGGTCTGCTGGTTTCCTAAGCTAAAAAATGAAATTAAGATGCACCAGTGTAATGCAGCATCTCTTCCGGATAAAAAGCATTTATGGGTGGAGGCAAGACATCACTACTACTATTATTATTTTGTAAAAGCCTCGACCTCTTTCTGTAAAATGTAGATGAATGTCTAAATGCCTTTTTAGTGTTTTTTTAGGCGTAAATTAAGTATGTTTACTTTTGTAAAAAAATTTTATTAGGTTATATTCATGATGTTCAGGTCGCAAATACTACTTAGTGGGTTGTATTTGAGGACGTAAATAGAGATACGTAAAATAGGTTATAAATATGAACATAAAATACAACAAAATATAATTGGACGTTACTTTAGGGATTATCAGTGAGACGTATCCTATTCGGACAACGGGTCGACGTCGGGCTAGTTCAAGTATATGTACGTCGTGCAAGCCAACGTGGGAACGACGTTGGAAAATTAATAAAAATGGTACGTTGTTATTTTGTACGTCGACAGATCGTTGGATTTACCGACTCGGATCCAACGACGTCGCTTTTAATAGAAAAGCGACGTCACCGGTCGTATCACCAGCACCCGACCTAAATTTGCACAAAGTCTGACGTCGCTTCAGGTCAGATTTAGTTCGAAGTCACATAGATGCTACATGGGCGGTTTTTCGAAAATAGATGTTGTTTATAAATTACAGGCGGTTTATAGAACTTAAATTTAATTTTTAACATTCAATACCCTTTCTTAAAAGGGAAACAGAAGAAAAACATAATAAATATATGATTTAAAAAATAAACCTAAAAATATAATTTAGCGATCTGCTATTTTTTATGTCTAGGTACGCCTCTCATCTACAAAGAACAGGATATAGTAATATACCTAACCCTACTTATTTGTATTTACCGGTGAAAAGTTAAATTTGGATTTAAATGATACACTCTCTTGTACACAATACATGAATGCACCATATTTTCAAATTAATGTCCACAGAAGTCCGCAAAATAACGCAAAAATACTATAATACTGCAAATAAAGAATATGGAACTTGATCGGCGGCATAGCAACATCGCAAAAGGAGAATCTAGGATTTTCCATTCATCCTCGAAATACGTTGTTCTACGCCGGCATATTTCTAAAACTGACGTTGCCAAACTGCTTTTTATTATTAAAAGAAATACGACCATGATATTTTTATTCCATTATAAAATTTAAAATAGTAAAGCAGTTAAGCATTAAATGAAAAAATTGACGTTAGCAAATTAATGTAGTTGATATATTACAAAAATATAACGAAATTATTTATTACTTAATAATTGGTTGTGGTATTTAATCGAATACTAATACCAATATACAGGTAAATCTGGCAAATGTTTTCGGAGTAAGGGAGATGGGAAAATAAGGATAGAATAATGGCTGATGAAGGGGAAAGGTAAACAATTGTATCTCTTGAGTTTAAATATCTTTGGATATTACCATAGTTACAGCTTAACTCTATAATTACGGCACGGCATGGCACTAAAATGGATGCAAATACAGAAAAAAGGCGGTGGCTCTCAAAATTTTTCCAAAAAAAATTTTTTTTTAATTTTCAAACTTATACATATAACTCGGTTATTTTGGACTGAAAAATGGTAAAGAGAAAATATTATGTTTCTTTTATCGAGATCTACCAGCCCTCAAAATATTTGCACTTATTTAAGACTCACCCTGTATATGTAAGTTTTTAGTGGGCGGTAGTTTGTAGTTTACTATGCCCTCAGTGGCGGATACAGAGGGGGGGCCCATGGGCCGTCCCCCTAAAATCTATAAATTGGGTTAAATATTAGCCTTATGGGTTAAAAATGGCACCCTAAACAGCATATTCTACATTACTTTTTATTTGCCCCCCCCCCTAAAATAAATTTCTGTATCCGCCCCTGGATGCCCTGTTTCAGATGCTGACAAAAACGCTGTCAAAACCTATCAGCGAATTCAACATTGTACCATCATCGGAGGATAATGATGAGAAGAGGAAAAAATTGAGACCTTTGCCGATAGCCTTCACCTTGCACTGGGTGATAAATAATTGCAGAACGGCGTGGGACACTCCCGTGGGATACAATCCGAAACTATACGAAGCATGGAGTACAGGTGAGTATACAGTCGAGCGTCCGTTATTTACCAAACTGATAATTTCTCTCACGATGCCTTCTAAATTTTTAGTTTACTGTCTAAAAAAATAACAGACCATTGTAAACCCTTAAGATTCACAATAAACCTTGCCCCAAACACTTCCCATTTAAATTACATGGAAATTTGCCACTTTTTGCAAATATTTTTTTTTCTCTCGATTTTGTTCTCTCGCAGCCATGACTATCACATATTCTTGTACAGAACTGAACGCTCTACAAAAAAGCTCTCTTACAATTTTTCGATAAACCTACTACTTCAACAGTTATTCATGGCTAAAATTAACCACTCGGTAAATTCCTAAATTTTTCAACTATTTTTACAAAATCATGATTATTTTTAAAAAAATTTAATCTATTACTGTAAAAATATACAATTCTGATAGTGTTAAGGTTGGGTTAAGAGCCTAAAATTAAGAAATCTTCAAGTCTAATGATGTTTAAACCATTTAGTATAGCTGATTTATTTTTTGATAAACATTCTTTAGTTGGATTACGATATTTCTTCTTATACTCGCTTACAGACTGAATCACATTTTGTTTTTCATCTTCACTTCTAGATAAAATATTAATGTAGACAATTTAACAGCTCTTTCTGCAGTATTATTAACTACTCTCAATTTTTTCACAATTTCTAAGCCTCTCATGTATCTAGGATCCTTTAACCATTCCGTACTGTTTAAATGCAGAAAACCTGTAATCAATATTAAACCGTGTAAAAAATTGTAACGAATTTGAATTTATGAAATAATAAAGGTTTTTATTTATAAACCATTTAAAATCATCCTTTTAATTAAAAATGCAGTGGTTAGAAATATCCAACTCTTCGTCATTACTCACTTTTAAAGCTTCAACCATTTTCGGCCTGATACTATAATACTCGTAAGTATTAGAATTGACTAACTGTCATGCATACAATTGTTATTCATGGTTCAAAATTGTTTATTATGGTATCATGAAAATTACTTTTTTCAAATAATAGATTAAATTTTTCAAAAATAATCATAATTTTGTCAAAAAAGTTGAAAAAATTAGGAATTTACCTTAGGAGTATAACTTTAACCGTGAATAACTTTTGAAGGAGTAGGTTTATCGAAAAATTGTAAGAGACGTTTTTTGTGGAGCGTTCAATTCTGTACAAGAATATGTAATTGTTATGGCTACGAGAGAACAAGATCGAGAAAAAAAAATATTCGTAAAAAGTGGCAAATTCCCATGTAGGTTTAAGCTTGATTTTCATGCATCCGTTGTCCGACGATACGTTGATACGATATTAATTTCATTGGTTGTATTTACGGGCTTCGATCGGTTAACCGTTTCTAACCAACCGAAGTCTTTAAATTCAACCAATGAAATTAATATCGTATCGTCGGACAACGGATGCATGAAAATCAAGCTTTATTGTGAATATTAAGGGTATACAATGGTCTGTTATTTTTTTTAGACAATAAACTAAAAATTTAGAGGGCGCACAGTGGGGTATTTGACACAGATAGCTGATCGAAATTTTTTTATGTAGACCTTATATAAATTATTGCTATTTTCAGTTAAAGAGGAAATAATATGAACAAAATAAAGGACAATTCGTCGATTCTAAAAAAAGAACGAAAAATCACTGTTCCAGTGTTTCCACGGTCAATGCCACTAATGCCAGTAGTAATATCGCAACTAATACTACTAATGCTATAGTCTATAAAATGAATAACTTTGAATTTTGACCGTTATTTTTTACCAACATGGCAAATATAAAATCCCTCTGTCAAAAAAGTTACTGATATTTACTGATATTCTTTAAATTGAGTGCCTGAACGAATCATATAGGTAACTCTTTTTACTTTAGTGAAATAGAAAAGGAAAATAATAAAACAAGCGACAGTTCTTCATCTTCTTGCAAAAATCAACACGAAATGTCATAATTGACAAAAGTAAAATGTCATCAGCTTTTGACATTTCTAAATATTAGACCAATGCCGTCTCTAATAGAACAGCCACGTAGCGAGATTTATGACGTCACGCTAGTTAGATACTACGGATTAATAAATATGTTGTAGAATACATGGAAAACATAATTATTCCTCGTATTTTTGGTTTGTATTTTAAAAATGATATAGTTTACATGAAATATATATAATATACAGTTAATAAATACAATATAATATATACCTATTTATAGTAATAAATACTTTAGCAAATAAAAACTATCAACCATACAAATGCAGCAAATGTTTTACAATATACAAATAATGAATAGGCGGTGCATAAGATAATGGGTAAAATGCAGGGTTGTTAAGTAGTTTATGAAGCAAAAAACTACGCCAAAAGCTACGCGTAGTTTTTTGTAATAACTACGTTTTAAAATTTTAAAAACTATCTTCAAAAACTACACAAAAACTACGTTAAAAACTACCTACAAAAAGATAGTAAAGAAGAAGTAAAACATAAACAATTTAGACTTTAAACTAAAATCAAGCCAAATTCTTATCATGGAAGCTGATGGAAGTATGAAGTTATATTATATTTGTATAAGTTAAACATCAGAAAAAAAGACAATTTTTTTTCAACAAAAGTGTATTTTCTACGAAATACAAAGTAACATTGAATACAAAATAAACTATAAATTCTTATGGATAAATTCTCCATAGACATTCTCCAGAGAATATATGATTTTTTACATCTAAAGACACAACTTCATAATACCCCTCTTCCCAGAAGGTATGGAGCAAGGTATGGAGACATCGACGTCTTCCAAGCATTTTTAACTACTAATAAATATCAAAAATATCACACAATAAGGAACAAATTCACAAATTATAGATTTTTTATTTCTTTAAATTGATCAACAAACAAAGTTTTTAGGTTATGTTTTCACTGTTATTTAAAAAAACTACATTAGTTACATAAACTACACATTTACTACTCGACATTTAAAAAACTACTTGTGACATGTAGTAAATGTATTTTATTAATTACTACGTGTAGTTTAACAACTCTGGTAAAATGTAAAATATATTTTAAATTTTGGGGTTTGAAAATCAATCTAATTTAACAAAAAACATTCAATACCTAATAATAGTGATGTATTATTATTTGCATTCATAAAATTTATTTATATATTATAATGTTTACTGCAATTAATAAACTAATATAAACGTGTCAAAAGATGACCACATATTTTTTTAAATTATTATTCTTAACACAAAAACTATCTACATTGAGTATGGAGTACGATTTCAGCCATATTGTAAAACAATTGGTGCATTTGTATGGTTCATAGTTTATCTGCCAAAGTATTTATTACTATAAATAGGTATATATATATATATATATATATATATATATATATATATATATATATATATATATATATATATATATATATATATATATATATATATATATATATATATATATATATATATATATATATATTGTATTTATTAACTGTATATTATGTATATTTTATGTAAACTATATCATTTTTAAAATACAAACCAAAAATACGAGGAATAATTATGTTTTCCATGTATTCTACAACATATTTATTAATCCGTAGTATCTAACTAGCGTGAGGTCATAAATCTCGCTCCGAGGCTGTTCTATTAGAGACGGCATTGTGTCAGCATGGCCGCAAGTTGCTAACCTAATAAAATTAACACTAGAAAAGCCCGCGAGAACTGTCAAATTCAAAGTTATTCGTTTTACAGACTATACGACTGATCCGCGAGCAATGGCCATACCACTAAAGTCGCTACTAATGCCAAATTGTGCTATACTGCTAATGGCACTAATGCGATCGCTTTGTACACAACAATGCCATCGCGGTTTACACCTCGCAATAGTATATCACTGATTGGCAAATTAGAGGAAACCAAGAATGTTTTTCTCATTTTATCAGCAAAATCGCAAAAAGTCGCAATATTTTATTTTACTGTATGAAAGCCCCAATGTTTACTAAGTTACTAAGTAAAACGTATTGTTAAGGTCAAGGTGTATTACTGGCTGCATAACCGCAACGGTGCATTGAGAAACCTGGCGAATTCGACAGAAAGTAAAAGAAAATTACAGAATTCTTTAGAAAATTCCAGAAACCATCGCCAGGGGGTATATAAGGCCCGCGCTTTGACAGTTGGAGAAGTCTGAAGAGAGTCTGAAGTCTGAAGTTTGATAATACCACGAAATACCGTTAGAGTAATAGTAGTTGCATAAATCGTGTTGTAAATAGTATAAGTTGTGTGTACAGAGTGAGACAAATAAATTCGTTAAGTATTTTATCCTGAGTTTAAATAGTGGACCCACGGAATCCGTAACAATTGGTGTCGGAAGTGCGATTTAAGTGGATTTTGAAGATTTTACACCGGATTAGAGTATTTTTATGGTTGGTACAAGGGAGCAATCGAAGAAAATGGAAGAAGTAAGCAAATTATTGGGCGATTTTATGGAGAATATGCGAAGAGAGAAAGCAGAAGAACAAGAAAAACTGCAGAAAATGCTTATGGAAAATCAAGAAATTAGACAAGAACGGTTGGAGAAAATTGTAGAAAACCTAGAAGTGCGTCGCTAGAAAGAAAAAAAAGAAGAACAGGACCGGCTTGAGAAAATTTTCGGAGATTTGAAAGTTCAACGACAACAAGAAAAACAAGAAGAACAGGACCGGCTTGAGAAAATTTTCGAAGATTTAAAAATTCAACGACAACAAAACAAACAAGAAGAACAGGACCGGCTTGAGAAAATTTTCGAAGATTTAAAAATACAACGACAACAAGACAAACAAGAAGAACAGGACCGGCTTGAGAAAATATTAGGAAATTTGGGAATTCGTGTGGAGGAGCGACGTCACAGGGAAAGACCCAGAAGAATTTTGAAGACCTGGAAAAACGACAGGAGAACCATTTCCAAGAAGTCGTAGAAGATCTGGAGGAACGCCTTCAGCAGAAAATGGAAAAATTAGAAATGGACCTACAG